TGATCCCGATCCCCATCCTCATCCCAATCCCGGTCCCGGTTCCTACACCCGCCGCAGCTCCCAGGCCCATCCCGCACTGCCTATAGGGGGTGTTTCCCGCCCCACCCCGTTCCGATCCCGGTCCCAATCCCGATCCCGTTCCCGATCCCGGTCCCGCTCCTGGTCCCGGTCCCCGCACCCGCCACAGCTCCCGTGCCCACCGTGCACCACCCATGGGGGGTGTTTCCCGCCCCACCCCGCCCCATTCCGATCCCGGTCCCGGTCCCAGTCCCGGTTCCTGCACCCACCGCAGCTCCCACACCCACCTCCCCGTTGTTCCCCCCATTCCAATCCCGATCCCGGTCCCGATCCCAATCCCATTCCCAGTCCCGGTTCCCGCACCTGCTGCAGCTCCCGGGCCCGCCCCCCCCGTTGTTCCCCCCGTTCCGATCCCGATCGTGGTCCCGATCCCGGTCCCAATCCCGATCCCAATCCCAATCCCGTTCCCATTCCCGATCCCAATCCCGGTTCCCGCACCCGCCGCAGCTCCCCTCCGCAGCGCGCAGGAAGGCGGCCGTTGGAGCCGTTGGAGCCGTTGGAGCGGCTGGGGGCGGGGGGGGGGAGAGGGGCTGTGTGAGGGGGGCGGCCGGGCACCCCGGCGTGAGGAGCCGGGGCGTGTGAGCCTGTTTGTGTGTTGGAGTGCGTTTGAGAGCGGGAGCGTTTGAGAGCGGGGGGGAGGCCGGGGGCGCCGGCTCCGGGCGTGTGCGCGACCCCCAACCCCCCCGCGCGGCCGGGGGCAGCGATGGCCGCGCGCGCCCCTGGGGCGGTGCGTGCGTGAGGAAACGCCGCCCGCGCCGCGCGTGTAGCGGCGGTAACGGCCGTGTGTGTGTGTGTGTAACGGGTGTGTGTGTGTGTGTGTAACCGTCCAGGGGGTGTTCCCGCCGCGCCGAGCCCACGCATCGCCTTTCCCCATGAAGTCCATTCTTTTCATGACGCAGAAAAGTGAAATGCCGGGGGCGGGAGGGGGGTCTCCGTTACGCCCTGTGGTGTAGACAGGAGGGCTGGGGGGAGGGACAAGGACATGAGGGAAAACTCTTGGACTGGGACTCCCCTTCAGCCTCGTCTTCCCCTCGGAGCAGGGCAATATCCAGGTAATCAGCCCCCTGCTTGGAAAGCTCTCACTCTCTGGACCTTCTCTGTGCCCAATTCATTAGGAAACTGTCTCCCATCTCCTGCTGTGTCTGTTTCCATGATCCACGATTCCCTATTACCGTCTGCTAAGTGTAATGCAGCATATTGTGTATGTTGCTTTTCAGTTTCGGGCTATGTACTTTTTTCTTCTAGGAATTTCACAAGAAACTGTGCACAATGCAGAACTTACAGTTGTACACTTTTGTGTGTGTGTCTTGTGCAAAGTTGGGTTTGGTTTAGCTTCAGTTGGTGTATTTATCAAAAGAAAGGAAAACTAGAAATATATGCTGCTCAGTACGTTGGTTTTCTGTTTTTCATATTCCCGTCGTTTAATTTTTGTGCATTCTTTGCTACATTCTTAACTGCTTAAGTAACGTGTCCATCACGACATCCATTTTTAGTGTGCTGATGTTATTACTTGTTTAGTTGTGAAGCACGTTTCTTGCAAAAATAGTGTTTTTTTCCAAACCTGATGTATGAATTCCAGCATAGGAAGACGTATGAATTCCAAGATAGGAAGTTCAGCCTTTCTTTCCTGTGTAAGTAATTATGAAGTATTAGACAGATGCTACCTATAGATGTCTCTGTCAGCTGTACCTAGGTATTTTCATATGTTTGTTAGTGCTGGACTCTGATACGGTTCGCTCTGCGTCTTACCGCATTTTACAGTAATTCAGCTTTGCTGAGGGTGTTCCGGTACAGATGCTTYGGTATTTGTATAAAAAAACACCTCTACTCAGAAAATGAAATGGGGCCACGTTCTTACAGTGTCACCACTATCTGTTCTCACAATTCTCACAAGATTTAAATGTTTAAAGCATGCTTCTTTATGCTTTAAACTGGCAAAATGTATTAAAAAGTCTATAAAATACACTGAGTGCTCTCCTAACTTTACTCTTTCAAGTGATTGCTGCAGTTGCCACAATAAGCTGTCTTTTGTTTGAAGGAATTTTAATGTGTATCTATTAAAATCGCTACTCCCATGTGGTCCAATATGTGGAAAAGTTTAAAAGCCTCTGGAGAACAAAGGCTGAACCACTGCTGAGGAGCGGGGCTAAGACTTCCTTTTATTGTCATGATGTCATATCACCCCACACCCCCCCCCTTCCCCAAACAGTCATGATTTGCTAAAATCCAGTGAAAATGATACATGGCTGTATACAAGTAGGGAATATTCACCAAGTCTGCAGTGTGGTGTTTGGTCTAGCCTGCCGGCAGCGCCAAGTTACGGAGAACCTTGTCCCAAGTCTCTCTCTTGGGTGAATGAAACACAGCACTGCTCCGTGCAGCTTTGCTAGTGTAGTGATTTATGCTTGCAAATCACACTGAAGGATTGCAGCCAGAATTGCAAGTCCTTACGATGTTTTATGTTAGGACCCTGATGGTTCATTATGACTTCGTTTTCTTGGGATATATCAATAATGTATTACTGCTAGGTTTGATTAAATCAATTGCTTTCCAACGACAAGTAAACAATGAAGTGATTGATACCTACTCACAAAAAACGACTCATGAGTTACCTAGATCAATATGTTGTAAAATTGTATGCTGCTGAATTATTTTAGGAACAAGAGGCAGATTTAATATACACAGCAAATGCATGGATATCTGTGTGTTAAATTTTCTACGAAAGACTGTACATTACAAGGATGTTGGCCCTTCAAAGAGAAGTATTTAAAACTTATAAAATGACAAAGTTAACGTTGCTGGGCGTTGCTTTTTTTCACATTAATTTTGCTGTATGGTGTATGTTCATAGATACTATCCAGACTTTAACCAGCAATTTTGCATGCTGCTTTCCCTAATACTTCAAGCCCACTCGCTTGCTAGAACAACTGAATTTTCGTTTTCTTTTCTTTGTTCAGTGTGAGGTGCCATACTTTATTTTCTGTACACCCTTCAACTCTGTGCTTAAAACACATTTTTCTCTTGTGTTTCAGTGGCACATACATAGCTATTATTAGCCATACCCAGTAGCTTCCCAAACACAAATGTTTCTATACTTAAAACATGCCAATGAAGTTAAGTATTTTGACCTCTGCTTTACCCATGCAGAGTTGAGGCACAGAAAGATTAAGTACCTTACTCCAAGCTGTACAGGAAATCTGTGGGAGAGGCAGTTACAGTTCCAACAGTGTCTCCACAGTAGTTCTCTTTCCTAGACATAAAATCATCTTCTTTCGGTGTCTAGACTTTTCTTCATTCGCTGTATAATAATTGTAAGTGAAATGGACATGGTCATGTCTGTGAAATCTCTATCTATATTGAAATTCATAATGCACCGTGTAATAGTTGTCATGGGTAAAAAAGAAGTACAAAACTGGACTCGAGCCTGAAATCATTACACAGCTCTCCTTCGTTTGCCATATTCCCGCAGTATAAGAAGCAGAAGTACATTAGAAAAATATATTACATGATCATGTTAAACTAGTAACCTTTACGTCAAAGTGGTTAGACTGCATGCTGATAGGTAGGGTTGCATATGTTATTTCTTGGTGTTTGATTAAAAGGTCTTTGAAACTTAGAAATTCCTGCTGCGCAGTGGCTTTCAAGATACTCCTTTAATTTTTAAAATGTAAGCAGAAAAGGACTCGCATTGTATTCGACTTGCTGTAAATAGCATGTATGTGGTATAGCCAGTAAGGCAGGAGCCTTTGGAATGTTCTCTATTGGGTCTCGTGTTGTGCGGAAGAAGTCTCCTGCAGAGAGCTGACTCCTTCTCTGTGCAACACGATGCTTTTTTTTTTTTTTTTCTTTTTCCTTCCCCCTCATGCAAGTGTGCTTATCTTAGAGAAAGGCATAACCCAGCTTACAAGCATTCCTGAGAAATGAACGCATGTGCAGAATCGGGGGAATGGTGGCATACCACTAACAGTTCCTGTTACAGAACCCATTTTGTAGAACACACGTTTCTAGGGGTGAAATTGCAACCTGTCTTTACAACCTGCCCAAGGGCATATCTTTGATGTAGATCCTACATGGGAACTCGCAAGCATTTAGCAGCAATGTTTATGTACAACCTGGACATTATCTCCATACTGTTTTTCTGCTGTTTATGTCTAGAGGACTAGAGTATGTTTCAAAGAAAAATAGCAAAAGAAAATCTTCAAAGGGAAAATGAAAAGCACCCTGTTTGTCCTTCAGTTGAGCCCTATTTGTTGAAACTGTAGGTGTTGCCCA